TGACTCACGCTGCATACGTATTCTTCCACTGTGCCATTTTTCTTTTACCATACTGTTTGCATCAAATGTACAAGACAAACGATATAAGTCAAGATTAATGAAAATTATACAGTAACCACAAATCGTTGCATGTTAAGACTGTCATAACCCAGAGACTTACTGCATTAATAACATTCACAAGAAAATGTAAACATCTTTTTGTGTAAGAAAATTCATGTAAAACATTCCTTTCAATGAAGATATATTGGTAAATTGAACATTTTCTTATAATTAAAAAAGAAATCATTTATTTGTTATGCTAAAACACTAATTGCATATTTCCTGATTTCATAATTTGGAGTTGATTTACATACATGCACAAAATATTCTGATAAGCTCTAGTAAAAATGTTATAAATATCAATTAGTTGGACCCATGATAATTCCACAGGTGTTGACAATATTATCCTTTATCACAGACATCTTCTCTTCCATCATCCATTGTCTGTATCTTCTCATTCTCTTCCTTATCGTTTCCAATCTTCCTTGCTCTTCAATATTTTTCTTTTATATATGGACTATTTTCATATTAAAAAAAGGAATATGTAATACCAAATATATTTTACTGCACCCTCTCATTTAAAAATTTTTAATGTATTAAAATTTTTATACCTTTCTCTCACTACCTACCTTTCAACCTTTGTTTATCTCTTGCTATACAGCCAATAAACTTGTTTCTTTATGTCTTTCTTTCATCTCCACTCCTTTCCCTTCTCTAAAATGAAGTGCCAAAAAATTACAGACAACCGTACACTGTATGGTTTTGCCCTCTCTCAAGTGTAGAAATGAACTCACCCAGATGATGTATATGTGATATAATAGGTAAAGAGGTAATGTAGCTGTGGCAGTCATGAAAGACAGGATTCAAAACCATTTGACTGCTGAATGATTATTAGGATCAGAAAGCTAGAACACTATCCCCAAAGTGCTCTAAGATTTTTCTTAGGTAAAAGAAATAAGGATATACCATGAACATGGTAATTCTGTACAGACATCAGTGGCACACAAAAACTTCAGCTAAGCACAGGTGATGAGAAACAAGTCTACCGGCAACTAATAAGGATAAAAAACTACCTAACAAATGACAGTATTACAGCAAATCACATCCCAATTCAATGCCAGTGCTATTCAACCCATCAGTCAATGCAGTGTATAGTATACATTGCATTCCATAGGGTTTTGTAGTCATCAACCAAGAAGGGTACCATTATTGACATGATGACATCAGTTAATGTGCATTACCTGTACCAGAGAACATTGCCATTGGACTGTGGTCGACTCTCATCTGGTTAGATACATCATAATTCTAGATCTTTGGGTAGTTGGTAAAGTTTGTGTATGAAGGAAATCAGATGAAACTATGGACCCAGCCTATCAGCAGGGTGTCATGAAACCTAAGGGAGTGGGACATGTTCTGATTGTAAAACTAGTGTCTATTTTGACAGGTTTGACAAACACAGAACACACTGCAGTACCACTTGGATGATCGTCATACATCTTGGTTGTGACAGTTTGTTCCAGCAAGATAATGCAATATCTATCATGTGCAGAAGATATAAAACTAAGTTCCAAGTACTCTAATGTCCTCTGTAGTTCGCCAGATTTGAATCCTATTAAACATATTTAGGACATGTTGCTGACATCCTTAAATTAGCTGCAGTCACACCCAACAAACAAAACTTGGTTATGGATATCCCTAGATAAATATGCAATTGCACCAGCAGTTCATAGACACCATGACATATCAAGTATTTAGATAAGGTGAAAGGCAACATGTTACTGAGTAGAGGCCTCTAATTTTTTGACACTTCAGTTTATATATATATATATATATTTCTTTCAGTTGGTTTTCATGTTCCAGTGTTTTTACCTGCTATCTTTCCACTTTCTTTTCACTCTCCTATCTCTTGATATTTCTCAATATCTTCCTGTTTAATACACCGTATATACTTGTGTATCATGCAACTTTTGAAGACCTAATTTTGAAGCTAATTTTAAAGGGGTCGCATCATACACGAAATATAAAATTAGCATATGTACTGCTGGCCCTGGCTACACTGTTGACCAAACCATATATCCATTTACTGTAGTAAAAACATACAGCTGTATTTAAAATAAACATTGTACGTTACACAAGTATATACATTACTTCTCAATTAAAAAATGTGATTTCAGCTCAGAAAGACTGAGGAATCAAGAAGACACTACACTCTGATCTTAGAGAGAAAAGCATATAAAGTACATGCAGAGATGCAGAATAGGAATACAGATTCTTTAGAGCAAATATCCATTGTTGAAATAAACTTAAATAGTAACAATTACCCTGCTCCAAAATAGCACCTGTTTCTCAGGAAGCAGTAAATGATACTTGACTATGTTAAATCTGTCCCAATATTAGTTTCAACAAAAAATACAAACCTTTTCTTCTTTTCAAGTTGTGAAGAAATAAAAAATTAATGCAAACATGAAGTATCTGATATGCACTTTGCAAAAAGAAAAAGAATTAAGCTAAATTTAGCCATTAGAATGAGTTATACCTGCACAAGTGTGTTTATCACAAGTACAGGTGTATGTGTAATTTGTATATATGGGGAATTAACAGACATAAGTGGTTGTGCCCATTTTTGGTGAAAAATAGGTTAAATTCACTAAACATTGTTTATTTCTGGTACTGTCTGCCTAAGTCATTATGTCCATCTATCCTATTGGAAGGGGCTGTTTAAGATCATTCTAAAATGTCCATTATGTATATTAGTTGTTATGCCTCGATATGTGGATTTATATGCATTTTATGTGACTCAACCTTATTATGGGCAAATAGCCAAGTGGGTAGAACATTCACTTTCTGATCATGAGACTCAAGTTTGAATCTTACCATGCTCAATCTCTCAGGAAGTTGCATTCTTGATGCTATCAGCCTAGAAAGACAATCCCAGCATGTCAGAAAGTATCTGAAAACTATACCATGGTTTGAGTAAAATTAGGTGTTGTTTGTTCGTCAATGGTTGTGCTAGCACAAAGTCACAAGTCATCAAAACCAAGGGTTTGAGTGAACTGACCTTGTTTAAACTGCTGATCACATGAGATAAACTGTAACTAAAGTCTGCTCAGCATTGGTTGTAGTAAAACTACAGACAGGCTCTGAACAAACACAAATGTGCCTAAGCCGGCGACTGCAACAGGGATTGGTTAGCCACCCTAGCAGACAGACATACTCAGAAATGAGTGGTCAACCATTATGTAATTGCATTCTAAATTGTAGATATGTATGTATGTGCATATGCAAATAATTGCTGTTTGCTTACAAAATGCATTATCTGTGTGTGAACACCTAGTTGTGTGCATTTAAGTAGTAAAGTGTGCAAATAGAGGTGTGAGTGCACATGTGTCTTTTTAATCCAACTAGTACAAGGTAGGGTAGATATAACCCTACATGAGACAGTGAGAAGAAAGTAGAAGACCAAATAGGAGAAGATTGTCCTTTTCCCCTACCCAATGCTTTGATGTAGTTAGGAAAGGTCAGGCAAAGAGGGTAAAGTAGTACATCTTCTGAGTGAGACATGCTAGATTAGAAAGGCCATAAAATGAATATGTCAACAAACATAGGGAAAAATGCGTCATTTTCTTTCTTTCTTTCTTTCTTTTATTAATGAGAAAGATCAACAATAAGAAATTTTAAATGACACTAGAGGGAGAAAGGCCACTGGAAAGAGAGAGAGAAACATCTTTTTTTATCTGAGGAAGATAACAGTAACTTCAAGAGAGACTGAAAATAAAGGTGGTAAAAAAAGAAAAAATAGGCCAAGAGAAAAGTCTTTATGCTGTGCTTCTCTGTGTTAGGAGACAAGGAGACAAAAGTTTTTTTCCCCCACTTTTTTCTGTAAAAGGGAAAAATCCGTAAATTAATAAAATAAGAGAATTATAAAGATTATAGAATGTGTATAAGAGAGAAAGAGACAATTTTCATAAATGGGAAAATATTACTTTCTTTATCATCTTGAGCAGAAAAATGAAATTAGATTGAAGAACTGGGAATTAATATGTATGTTATTGTTAAGTGTGTACTACAGAAAGGTAAGGAGTGGCAGCGACACTTTTCTTCTCGAAGGAACAACACCAAAAACGATTTAGATTGCTGCAATGTCGCAATGAATTTCCACTTGAGAGATATCTCTATCTAAAAAAAGTAATATTGACTAAATGCACTTTTAAGTGTTGCAGGATAATATAACCCACTTATAAGTATAGAGTACAAGTTAAATGTTAATTAAACCATGAATGAAATTTTCATAAAAATGTGTCCAGTCTGAGACCCAAGTATATTTTTCTTTTGAATTTGATCAAAGACACAAGAGAAATGAGTAAATAAGAAAATGAACCCTTATTTTTTTTCTTTGACTGGGCAATTTTTTTTATAATTTAGTCTAATGAATAACTGTACATAAAAAAAAAATCTTTTTGCATTTCCCATTTTCAATGTCGTTTATTCATAAGCAAATTGGGAGACATTGCAGAGATATTTTTTTCTGTAAAAAAACAAACAATTGTCATCAAAGAACCTGACAGTTTTCAATATTACTGTTATTTACAAACATTCAGAAATTAGTCAACACAATGAGGAAATTTATTTTTCTTCTTTGAAATTAAAAGTGAAAAACGTTTGTCATTAAAAGACATGTGTCTCAATTGTTGTTCCATTACTGGTGATCTAGTTTGAAACCTATCGCAGATAACACATCTCACACACACAAGCATGCCTGAACATATACAAATGTTTGCTTAGCTTAACTTAGTCTGGTACAAAGTTTTACACACACCTATATATGCCATAGGTAACAGCAAGTTTATTCATATTTATTTAAGACACCATTTTATATTGGGTTTCACTTTGATGCTCATCTTGCAACATGCTTTGTGTAGTGTTAAATGTGTGCATGTGAACATATGTATACGTGTGGAAACAGCATGAGAGAGAGAGAGAGAGAGAAGCATGAAGGTTGGTTTTTCTTTCTTTCAACTTTTCTCAATTTATAACACTGAGACATCTCAGAAAGAAGTGATGTAGGGAAAGAGTATGAAAGTATGAACAATAGAACCTGGATGACACCAAAAAAGAAAAAAAAAAGAATCCATTTGAGGGAAGTAAACAAAGAGCATCAAGGAATTTTTTTCTTTCTTAAACAAGGTGAAAGTCCCAGAAAGCTTAAAATTAATGTCCGAAGAGAAAAGAAATAAGGAAAGATAATATGAACAGGCTCTTTTAACACACAGATATCTATATGGCTCACAATATACCAGCCATTAACACTGCTACCAACAAGATCAACAATAGTAAATACAAATGTAATCTATATGAAGACAGTAAATTAAATTGTCGATCATACCATGAGCGAATGCAGCAAATTGGCTCAGGAGTCCAAGAATAGACATGACTGGGTGATTTCCCCCTGTAAACTGAGGGTACATGCACAAACCAGAAGCTGACACAAAGAAGAAAAAATAAAACTCTATGAAACTTTAAAGTCCAAATCCATTTCTCAATCCAAACTTGAAGGCTGGATTTAGTAACTGTAAACAAAGAGAAGAAGACTTGTCAGAGAGTGGAAGGCACTTTTTTTCAACAAAGATTGAAATTGAAATAAAGTGGAAAAGATGGACAAAGAAAGACTCATTAAGGGGGAAATGAAAAATGTGGAACACAGATATGACACTTGTTGTATCTGTCATACATTAGAGAGATCTGAAAGTTCCGAATGGTCATATAAAGAAAATTTGAAATCCAAGGAATAAATATAAAGTCATCCACATGACATAATTACTAAAATTAGCAAGAATATTGAGAAAAAAATGTTGGAATAATGAAGAGATTTGATTTACTGTTTCTTGGTCTCCAATGAAAGCCATCAGATATTATGGTGTGAAGACTCAACACCTTACATCATAATCATTGCAAGAACATCATTGTCCTGTTATGACCCATTGATGGATTGATTTTTCCGCCAAATCACGGAAGGACCAAAAAAACAAAAAAAGAAAGAAAAAGAGAGAAAGGAAGAGAAGGTCAGTGAGGGAAGAAAGTACAGAATTATAAATTGCTTAGACATGACATGAAGGTGTACAACACAAATGTGTGAAGAATGAATTCCCACTCCCACTTCTTCTCTTTCTATCACTGACAGGAATGATTTTTCAGTATAGAACAGTCCTAAAATAAACCCAAAGAGAAAAACAGAGAAAGAAGAAAAACCAATTCAATTTGCTTTTCATTTAATTTCTTTTTTGTCAGAAACAGAATAAAGAATTTGAAATGTTGGCTAAGAAAAAAAACAAAAAACAAAAAACAAACTGACTCTCAATACGCATACTTCTTCCGATTAATATAATGACTTATTTTGATTACACTCCTGTAAGAAAAAAGAGATAATTCAAAAAGAAAGACCTCTGCTCCAAAGGGTCCAAAAGTGATACCCTGTGTATGTGTTTGAGAAAGGGAGAGAGAGGAAGATTGTAAAAATTAATGCCTCTATATAATATTTAAGAAGGGATATTAATAACATGAAAGAAATTCATCTTTTTCCTTTTCATTCTTACTTTTCTTTAGACCTGCGGACCATAAATATAAATATGTTGTGTGTGTGTGTAAACTAATTAAATATATATATATGTATATATATATATATATATATATATATATATATACACACACACACACACATATGTACGTATGTATGTATGTTTGTGTGACAGAGAGGGAAAACATGGGTAGCCATAATTAAAAAAAAGAAGAAAAATGCTTCTTTCTTGCAGTTTATTTGAAAGGCAGAAAAGACTTCAAGATTAGCTGGAGCTTAAAATAAAGGAAGGTTCTAAGAGAGAGCATTCAGCAAAATGTCTTTCTTTCATCTTTTTTTAGCGACAGAGAGAAGTACAGATTAAAAGGAAAATATGGATGATGCGTCGAATCCGATATTACAATGTGAGAACAAAATGAACGGGTAATAAACTGAGAAAATTCAGAAAGATTTTTCTTATTTTTTGTAAAATTAAGAAAATATAATAGGAGAGTATTTCAGGGAGTGGGGTGAAAAGTGATAGAAACAAAGAGAAAAAGAAAGCATAAGACTAATTGTGTTAGGACAGTGCATAAAGATTCAGTATAAAAGATTGGCGGGAGAGAGAGAGAGCATTAAAGAAGAAAAGAGACAGAAAGAAAATGGCACTCTTCTTTTATTAGGCAAAGCATTGGGGGGGGACATTCAAGACAAAAAAAAACCTATAATGTATGCAAACATTGGAGAGAGGCAGAAAGACATGTTGGAAGGGAAAGTGAAAAATAAGAAAAAGGAAGAAAAAAAACATCCTTCTTTTATTGTTGACTGATGTGAATTGGGAAGACAAGAGAAAGGTCAATATACTGACAGATAACAGGAGACATAAAGGCAAGAAAAGGAAAGCAAGAATAAGTGTTTCTTTCTTTTTCATGGCCAGACAACAGATACTTTCAGATTAAAAAACAAAAACAAAATGGGAGTAAGAAAGAGAGTAAAAGATATTGGGTAAGCAGGAGAAGAAGCCTTTTTCTTTGACCATAACAAGAAGGGTCTTCAAAGGTATGTAAAAGCAGAGAGAAAGAGAGAAATAATGATTGATAGAGGAAGAAAGGAAAGGTGGGGAAAAACAAAGAAAATGTTCTTTAACAGACATGATAGACCTCCAAACTAGAGGAAAATCTTAAAGGAATGCAAAAAGACAGAGAATTATAAATGGAGGAAATTAAAGAAACAAAGTTCTGAACAGAGAAAAAACATTTTTTTCTACAAAAGGAAAAGTCCACCAATTTATGGAGGGCATAAAAAGAGCAAGAAACAGTAGGAGAAAAAGAAAAAGGAAAATTTTTATATTTTTTTTTTTTTAAAAAGCACGAAAGTGTGACAGAAAGAAGTTTGACAGAAAGGAGAGGTGGAAGGTGTTAGTGGAACGGTATCAAAAACTAAAAGTAAAAATATAAAAAAAATGGAAAAGTAGGAAATAAAGGAAGAAAATTATGAAAGCATGAAATAAAGGGTATTGTAATTTTATTGAGGAAGAAGAGAAAAAGACATTATTGTGGTAGATTTGCAGAAATGGAAAGAGAAAAAGATGAGGGGGGAAAAAGAAGATAGAGGGAATCAAAGGACTGATTGGAAATAACACATCTATATATGTATGTATGTATGTATGAATGTGAATGAAAATGAAATGAAGCTGTTGTACATTGATAGAGTTAAAGAAACAAGTTACATATGTTTAAATTAGTGTATTTGTGTACACATGCATGTATATGTGAATATATTGCAATATAGAATCAAGTTAAAAACAAAAAAATGATTGAATGAATGAATGAAATGAAGACCTGCCACATGCATTCCTATATATACAAATGCATAAAGAAATTTTATACTAGAATAGGATAGATGTCTTAAACAGATAGAACATAGCAACTAGACTTAAAGTGGGGGAAAACATATAAATATATATTGAGAAATGACATTAGATATAGACAAAAGTGTGTATGGCACGTAAGGAGTATTGTCACAAAAGATGACAGATGTATATAACTATCTACAAATTCTTCTCATATATATATATATATATATATATATATATATAATGTGTGTGTATGTGTGAAGTGGGGATTGAATATAGTAAAGGAAGAGAGGTAGAAAGTGTGAAGAACATATTTTCGTGGGAAATAGAAATGAAAATGAACAGATATTTTTATAATACAATATTTCAAGAGGTAACTTTTTAAAAAGAGAAATTAAAAACAAAGAAAAAAGAAAATTTAATTAATACATAGGAAAAAAAATCAGGTAAATAAATTAGAAGTAAAGAGAAATAGAAAGAGAGAGAGGCACGTGTTGCCATAGTCACATGCACACTCTATATAAGAAGAGTGTTGATAAAAAAAAGAGGGGAAGAAAATAAGAGATATCATTAAGGAGATATCATTAGAGTGTGTGGGATGATAACAGAAAACGAAGATATTAATAGTGCGTGCGTGTGTGTGTGTGTGTGTGTGTGTTTTGACCGATTGGAAGAGAAGGAAAGAAAAGGTTTTCTCGAGATAAAGCAGGGAAGAAACGATTATTGATGATAATAAAAAGGGATCTAAGGTGGAAGGAAGGAGAGAAGTAAGCATAGAACTTTGGGTAAGAAGAGATGATAAGGAAGAAAAAGTTAATAGAAGAAAATTAGGAAAAAGGAGAGAGAGAAAGAGAAGAAACCCTCCTGTCATATAACTTTTCTTTGCTGAGACAGCAAAAGAGAGGAACAGAACAGAAAGAGAAAAAGGATGATCAGAATACATGCATGTTATAGCAAAAGGAAAGTGAAGTAGAGGTAGAAAGAGAGAAATGGAAGAAAGTGGGTATGGAAAACTGACAATAGATGTAAATTACGATGATATGTACATGAAGATTTAGGGAAGGGATGTGGGAAAGGAAGCATGTGTTGGAGAATTAGTAAATGAGTTTGTGTATGAAGTATATATATATATATATATATATATATATATATATATATATATATATATATATATAAGTATTTTTTGTGTGTGCGTGCGTATTTCTGTAATCTACTTTAACTATTTATTTGCACATACTTACGTTTTAAATATGTGTGCGTGTGTGAGCAAGGTGTTCCTTCTTAATGTGCAAATTTGTATTGGAATTATGCGCCTGTTCAGATATGAACACTAAGACATCTGTATGTAAAAATGTGTATGGCATTACGTCAGATCAATATCATACACTGCATATCTGTGCGTATAAATTTAACACACACAACACGTACATGTATGTGTGCGTGTACACAAGTACATACATTTTTACGTAAACGCGTGCACATTCTGTATATTTGATGTGTGTGCATATGGTTACATTTACTAGAAATTTACAGAGTTTTTAGATGTATAAATGTGTGTTACTGTTTGTGAATGACTGCAGATATATGTGCACTGTGAACGTATGCAAGTTGCTTTAGATGTGACATAGGTATATGTATGCAGTATTTTCGTATAACGGAATGGGGAAGAAAAGAAAAGAAGTACATGACATGAAGAGGAAAAAAAGAAATGGGAGGTGTGAATAGATGGATAAAGATGGAAAGTCCATTACAAAAAAAAAAAAAAGGGAGATGGAAGAACTTAGGAAGAAGTAAAAGGAAAGCAAAACAAACAAAAAAAGATACTAGAAGAAAAGAGTGAGTTGACTAATCAAAATATAAGAGGGGACTGAGCAGTGAAGAGAGAGACAGAAAGGAAAAGATTCAGAGTCAAATGTTCAGATGAAGTGTTACTGAGTGTTATGTTTAGAGAAGGAAAGATAAAGACGAAAACGGAAAATGGGGGAAAAGGAGAACATACAAAGTTGAATCCCCTGAGTAATAGAAACACGTGTTTCATAAAACTGAAAAGGTTAGATAATGAAGGAGTAAGCAAGAAGGAAAAAGAGAATGATGGAATAAAGAAAGAGCGTCATAGCATGGAAGAACGCAAGTAGTGAAAGAGAAACAAACCACGAATTAAATCGTACACACTGAAGAAGAAAAAAGGTCACGAATATGAAAGACAGAATAAATGAAAGGAAGTGAAAGAAAATGAAGAACTGATAAATCTGCAAAGAAAAAAAGTGATATGAACGAGATTGAAAGACGGTGAAGAGGGGTGTTTACTGTTTCCATAGTCACATCTCACAAGTAGGAAAAGATTAACTTTAGAAAGAGAAGCGCAAACAAAGCTGATAAGAAAAAGAACGAAAGACAACGGGGAGGGAGAATGAAAAAAATAGAATTGAATGAACAAACAAACAAACGAAGAAAGAAAGAATGTCAGTGAAATAAAGCCACTTTGAGCTCAGAAAATGTATGAAGGGAAGGGTAAATTAAATCACACAAGGAAAAAAGACCTAATGGGGAGGACAAGGAAGACCGCGTAAAGGGACGATTTGCCCTCATAACACACACACATATATATATATATATATATATATATATATATATATATATATATATATATATATATATATATATATAAACAAACTAGGGTAGAAAAAGATGAAGAGAACGAAGAGAGGGGAGGGAGACAAGAAGACAGAATTGATAGGTTTCGGTTGCTAAAGAAAATCAGAGGGAGAACCTGTTCGTCGCCAACGTCGTCCACATTGGCGTCAAGTGCGCGACGAGGGAGAGAGGAAAGTGAAGGCAACAGCTTCGCAAGACTGAGTAGGAAGAGAAGTGGAGAGAGGGAGTGAAAAGTAACAGCGTAGCACAATAAAGCCTGGACGAGGCAATGGGGGAGGTGAAGAGAAGAGGCGGATAAAGATGGTGACTTGATACGGGAGTAGGGATAGGAGAAAACGTTGTTTATTCTGTTTTCTCGCCCCCTCTCTTTTTCTTTCTCTCTCAGTAACGTGTGAGAGTTGAACAGAAAAAAAATAAGCTAAGCACTTGAGAAAGGTAAGGCGGGAGAGAAATGGAAAGGAATGTAGAATGTGGCAGAAAAGATATAGAGCATGAAATAGTTAGAGAGGGAGAGTGAAAGAAATAATGTTGAAAAAATAAAGTAGAAAAAGTATTATTGGAAAATTGGGACTAAGAGCAAAAGAGAGTAGAGATAGATAGATAGATAGATAGATAGATAGATAGATAGATAGATAGATAGATAGATAGATATTCGAACAGACTGACATAAACAGATAGATAGATAGATAGATAGATATTCGAACAGACTGACATAAACAGATAGATAGATAGATAGATAGATAGATAGATAGATAGATAGATACATAAACAGATAGATAGATAGATAGATATTCGAACAGACTGACATAAACAGATAGATAGATAGATAGATAGATATTCGAACAGACTGACATAAACAGATAGATAGATAGATAGATAGATAGATAGATATTCGAACAGAAACAGATAGATAGATAGATAGATAGATAGATAGATAGATAGATAGATAGATAGATAGATAGATAGAAACAGTGTGAAATAGATATACGAACCAACTGAAGTAGTTAGATAACAGATTGAAATAGACAGGCTGCGAGTGTGATAGATAGATAGATAGATAGATAGATAGATAGATAGATAGATAGATAGATAGATATGAACAGACTGGGATAGATAGATAGATATGAACAGACTGGGATAGATAGATAGATAGATAGATAGATAGATAGATAGATAGATAGATAGATAGATAGATAGATAGATAGATAGATAGACTGTACGTATAAGTAATGGGAAAAAACTTGATTAGCTGTCGTTATAGACAGTAAAAATAAGGAGAGAAATATATTGGTGTCTGACGCGGGTTATGGAGTGGGAGAGTAAGGGGGAAAGAACTATATAATTCCTGGCTGAAGTTGGGAGAAAAGGAGAAGTGAGATGGTAGCTTAGATAGACCGAATCTCGAGACAAGAGATTTTGAAGGTGGTTTGTGCATAGAGAAGAGATGGAATGGAAGGAAGAGGAGGGAGTGGAAAAGATAAAAGATGGAGGGTAAAGCGCTAAGAAAGAGAGGGAGCCGTGCACCGGCATTGGGATAAAGAGAGCAGGAGGAAGGGGAGGAAAAGAAAGATCGGGTCAGGGGAAGGAAGGGGGAAATTCAGACAGAGCTGGGCGTATAAAAAATAGAATGAAGAGAAGATGAAAAGAGAAATGGGAAAACACTCAAAAAAATGAATACAGAAGAGAGCAGAATGAAAAAAAAGGCACTAAGTCGAGAAAGATAATAATAGTATTTCTCTCCAGTTTCGATTCCTAAAAATTTTAGGCATCGAAACTGGAGAGAAATCAAGGGAGAAAGAGTATGGCTTTGCTTGAGAGAAAAATAGAAAGCGATAGAATGAAGACATTACCGTTTAAGAACGAGGATGAGTCTGTGTGTGTGTGATAGAGAAAGAAAGAAACAAACCAAGAGAGGGAGAGAGCATAAGGGAAAAGAACGGGCGAGGTAAAGGAAAAAAGACTTGAGTGAGTCCGAGTCGTATAGATTATAAAATGCTGAAATTAAATAGACAGAACAAGAGAAGGAAAGAACAAAGAATTAAGTTAGAGGGGAACACATAGAGTAAAATTGTGTTCGGGGTGAAAGAAAAAATAAACTCGAAATGAAATAGAAGAGAGAGAGAGAGAGAGATAGAGAGAAAAAGAGACAGCAAATGATAGGATGAAATCATCAAAAGAAAGCAGATAGAAGGGGGTGGAGAAATGTTAAGAGAGAAAAAAAATAATAGAACCAGAGAGGAGAGGCGTAAAGAGTGTAAAAGAAGAGGAGGAAAAGGTAAGCGATAAGAGAAGAAGAGACACCATTCAAAAGCAGGAAGAGAAGGGTATAAGAAAAGGAACTTGCTTGAGTAAGAAAGAAAGAAATGGCACTGCTAATTAAAGAAAAGGGAAAGAAAGACGTAATGCAACAAATGAGAAAGGAAGAAAAGAAAAAGACAGAAATGGATTGGAAGAAAGACAAGAAGGTTTGAGGAAAAAGGTTGGGAAAAAAAGGAAGAGAGAAAATATAGAAATAGGAAATTAGCATGAGAAGAGAATAAAAGCCAATCATAAGAAGAAAACTGAATTGAAGGACAGAGAGGAGACCAATCAGAAAAGGATAAAAAGAGTGAAAAGTCAGAGAATAGAAGAATAACTGTGTAAAAAGAAATAGAAGAAAGGGTAAATAGGAAAGGAGAGTGGAAGAAGGGGAGGAGAAAAGTGACATTCGCTGTAGATTACAGACCGGGGAGAAAAGAAAAAGAATTATAATGGCGCGGGTGGCGGTGAAGAAGCAAAACGACATAGAAAACAAGAGAAGAAATTGCTCAGAGAAAAAAGTGGATATAAAGAAATTAAATACAAATGGGAAAATGAAATTGAAAAAAGAGAGCGAAATAAAATTGACAGATGAAGTAAAGTGAAATATAGTGGTGATGGTGGCAGCACCGAGGGGGAAACGGTGCTCACTCACATAAACGTGCGTGAGTTGTTGAGGGTGAATAGAAAGAGAAAGGGAGAAAAGACTAGAGAGAGAGAGTAAGTGCGGATAGTATAAGAGGGAAGAAAGAGAGCAAGAGGAGAAAAAGGAAAACGAAATACAAAGAAAAAGTAAATGAGAGAGAGGTGGGCGGAAAAAAGAGAGGAAAGTAACAGAAAGCAAGACATACAAAAAAGAAAACGTATAGCTAACTATATAAAAAAGTGAAGAAAAATTAGACAAATTTAGACATAGACATACAGACACAAGAGAGGATGGTAATAAATAAATGAAAAAAAGGAAGATTGAAAGAAGTTGTATGACAGATACTGAGAGTGAGAAATAATGAAAGAAAGATCAAAGATAACATATATTAGAAGAGGGAACAGAACAGAAAGTGAGGGGAAAAGAGAGGTAGGTACTGATAAGAAAAAGTAAAGAAATAAGTGATAGATAGATAGATAGATAGATAGATAGATAGATAGATAGATTAAACTGAAATAGATTGGTATGAGGTCGATAGAAAGACACAACAAAGAGGAGAAATATCGAGATTTCTAAAGACAGAGTGGCATAGACAGAAATAGACACAGTCATAAAAAAAGGGTAGAATAATATAAGGAAATGAAAAAAATAAACAACTCAAAGGGAGGATGGCAAAGAAAAGAAACATTGAGAGAAAGGGTATGAAAATGAAGAAAAATGGGAATTGAAAGAAAACAAAAAACAAAAAGCTGCTGAGGGAGTGGCAAAAAGAACGAGAAAATTAAAGAAAAAAAAAGGAGAAAATAAAAAAAAAGGTTTTAAAAATGACGAATGAATATGAAAGAAAGAAATGGAAAATAGGAAAAAGAAATTATTGAGAAAAACAAACGCGGGCATCTAAAGTGAAAGAAAATGGCCAGGGAAAAAATGTAAATAGCTAAAAAGGAAAGAGCATAGAAAAGAAGCACACTCAAGCAAACAAAAGAGTAACAAAAAAAAAAGGAGGGGGCGGAAAGTATAAGGAAAAAGGGACGTGGGTTGGTAGTGGAAAAATATTGGCGTAGATTGTAGGAGATAAAAGAGAAATGAAGAAAATGAAGACAGAAAGAGAAACGAAGCAGGAAAAAAGCTAGCATTGAAGACTAGTAGCAATGGCTGAGGATATAAATGGGGGAGTGGAAGGATTAGGAGGGGTAGAAGAAAAGCGAAAACCAGAATTGAATAAAAGAAGAAAAGACAAAGGAAAAGAAGAGGAGAGGAAGGTAGGGCGTCGAGTCATCACTGGAGAGAAAGTGTAGGAAAAGGTCGGAACAAAGAGAAGGCATTGAAATCGGTTTTGCAGAGAAGAAAGGAAGGAGAAGAGGCGTAGAGTTAGAAAGGATAGAGATAGCATAAGTGGGAAAGTGAGGAGAAGAGAATATTACAAAATTAAAAGGATGGGAGAAAGAGAAAATGTGATCAAATGAAAGACAAAAAAGATGATGAAGAGAAGAGTAATGAGTGAAAGCGAGATAAGTAAAAGATGCGGTGTGGGGATGCAGGAGAGGATGAAAGAAAAGAGAAAAAGAAAGACGAGCAAAAAAAGGGAGAAGTATAAAGAGAAGCTAAAGGGTAGACAGAGAAAAAGAAAAAAGGAATAAAAAAAGAAAAGGAGGGATCGGAAATATTTACAACGACTAAGTAGGAGGAGAGAATAAATGAGAAGAAGGAAGAGAAGAAATTGATAAGGAGAGGAAAAATAGGAGGAGCGAGAGGAAACATGAGTAATGGAGGAAATTGACTAGTGAGAGGAGGAAGGGTTTGCGAGAGACGAGGAGAAAGGAAGGGGAGGAAATGCGACAAAGCAAACAAGGGATAGAGAAAAAGAGAGTGAAAAAAGAAAAACGAGATTGAAACGTGACAAGAATGAACAAAGTGGGTGAAGAGCGAGAAGGAGAGGAAAGAGTTGGAAAGAAGTTAAAGAAAAAAGATGAATACGACATGGGCAAGTCAGTGTGTAAGAAAGAAAGAAATAATGAAATGACTTCTACTGGCCTGAGAAGTTATTGAAAAAAGGGAGAGAGAGTAAGAAAATACATGAAAGAAAGTAAATGCTAAAATTACAAGGAATGAAAAAATGATGAAATGAAGGGGAATAAAAAATGGAAAATTAAAAACTCGGAGTCGAAAAAATTCAAATAAAAAAAGAAAGAAGTAGTCAAAGAAGCAAAAAGAATAAGAAGAGAGAACGAGAAAAACAAGAGGTTTTTTTAAAAAAAAAAATGGGGGGAAACGAATAGGAAGAGAATGGAGACGGCGGAGGGGAGAGAAAATGAAGGAGAAATAATTTGTCGGGTGAAAAATAAAGGACAGTGTCATAAAGCAGAATGGAAAGAAGGAGAGGGAGGTATAGATAGAAGAGGAAGAGGATAAGGGAGAGTAAGAAAGAGAAGGACAAAAAATGAAAGAGAGTAGGGTTGTCTGTTCGGAGAAGTAGCAGGAGGGAGGAGACTTAGAGCAGTATACGAATTCATCGTTACACGCATTTGCTCGCTCGCCACAGAAGAAGAGAAGGTTTTTTTTTAGACAGAGATCTCTGAGCTCTCCTCGGAAGAACGAGCGCTTTTCTACAGAGAGAAGAACAGTAAGAGAAAGGACACACACTGTAGCCGTCACAAAAAGAAATATTTTTGGAAGCCACTGTTCGTGCCGCCAAACAAGTAAGTACAATACTTTTACATTTTTTTTTATTCTTTGTACTTTGTAAAGCAAAAATACTTATTTCCTAATCATTGATCAAATTTTTAGTCATATACTTTTTTTTAAGTTAAGTTAGATTTTGCTTTCTTTTTTGGTTGTATAAGTGACAGCCTAACTAACTAGAATTTGTGGAATGTTGACAAAAAACTATTTATCAAGTTACGGGATGATTAATTTAAATTTAATTAAATCATGCTTGTTAAAGTAGAAATAGACAACAAACTAAACAAAATAACAAGAAAATTAATGATATACTAAAATATTTCGCGTACAAAAGCTTGTGTGTACAAAAAAAGTAAATAAGTTAAGTCTTTTTTGTATGAAACACATGTTTAAGTTTTCATTTATTTTGTAAACTAAAACCTTTTTTTAAACCGATGTCTGATATAAGGTCCGGTTTCCGGATGAATATTACCACAAACAAAATTACTTGACATAGACCAGAAAAAAAAATTATGTGTATTGTAGACACCTTTATCTTTTTTTTTTTATAATATTCATTCCGTTTTTTTTTCGTTCCCTGTTTCTTTGTGAACTTCTAAGAACCCAAGATAGACAATTAAAAAAGTTTTCCTTTAAAACCGCGCACACATCGGAAAGGGTACTGTACATCTTTTTAAACTTTGGAAATATATCAGTCGGTGGGGGACGGCCCTACATTTGGATAGAGAGAAGAAGAGAATACACGCAAACTCGGGTGGTTCAGAAAGATACTAACACATGATCTTATCTCCTTAGGGTACTGTGTGTGAGATGTGTGTATTTTCAACCACATGCGTGTAATTATACCTGTCCTTAAATCACATTTTCAAAACTGACACAATTTATATTCCTCATAAGTTACTTTTTAACTGGAATACACTCTAAAATTGCAATCGATCAAATAAAAAGAAAACCAGTATATACAGAAAAAAAGTGTACCCGTATCAGAGAGAGGTTAAAAATAGAGGTAAGTGTACACTGTACAACATATATACACACATACACACACATTCCAAGAAATATTTACTACAACTATATACATACATACAGCTCTCTAGCCCCACTATTTCCTTAGTTCTTGCTCTGTGTTTGTCGGATACTTAGGCACAGATCCGCCTTTCTCGCACAGAGTGGGAGATTTTGTTTTGTGGTCCTTTTATATGCGCATACATATTTTTCCTTGCTCTTCTTGTGAGGATAATTTTGTTCTTAGTTCTTGTGTATGATATGAATGAAGTGAAATGCGTGCACAACGCACTGCCTTTCTCTTATTTTACGTGCGTGTTACACTGTTACTGACTTCACATCGACATTTATATCACTTACCCTCACCCACCTGGATATATTTTTCCTCTGTGTCTAGACGCACACATACACAACTAGATATGATTGAGATATAGGTCCTGTCTGATAGAGAAAATGTACCAGCATACTTTCATACAAACACACATAGACGAAGAGAATTTTCTGACTAGAGGCATCAATCAGAGAAGAGGAAATCGTTGAAGGACAGAGAGGGAATGAGTGAAAGAGAAAAGGTACTTGTTCAGCAAAAAGAGGAGGAGGCAGAGAGTGAGAACGAAAGACACTGAGTCATAGGCAGATTGGAGAGAGAAAAAATAATCAGGTGAACGCCTAACCTACCTCACCATACCCCCAAAAATAGAGGTTATAGAATGAAGCAGACTAACCCTACACATGTGGATAGATAGGTAGATTTAATATAGTATGCAAACAAATAACATGAAAAGAGAAAGAATGAATAAATAACTGCGAAGCAGTCTTAAAAGGAGAGTGAGAGAAGGGAGAAGAACTGAGGACAGGAAAACATTCATCTCACTACTCGAAAGGAGAGAGAAATACCCACCCACTATCAGGCACAGAGGGGATAGATAGGCTAAAACGAACTTTGTTGTACATATGAGAGAGAAAGAGAGAGAATATATGTGTGAGTGTGTAAGATCAGTGCATAAATGCACAAAATAAGGATCCTAATATGAACACACACACACACACAAACACACGTGTGTGTATATATATATATATTGTGTGTGTGTGTAAAACTTTCACTTATCCATCCAATCTGTATACTGATTGAAGAAAAATAACAATAGATATTAGTAAAATAGACTGGCTACACTGTAGTGTAGATAGATAAGTAAATAATATGCAAAGATAAGAATGGATACTCAGACAGAATTCAGATATTGATTATAGGCAATCAATTTTCATTCCCTTGGTGATTGATTGATACATTCCGTAATGGTAAAAGGCACACTCTACAAAGCATTTATATGGATACACTTCCATAAAATGACTCATGTACATACACAGAATTGATGTATTTAAAGTGATATCTATCTATCTATCTATCTATCTATCTATATCATGTACATTCTCATAGCTGCTATGACATAGCATATGTGAAAAGGATAGAGAGGAATATTGTAAAATAGAGAGAGATGGGAGAGACATCTAAAGTTGATAGAATGAGATTCACTGCAGCTAGGAATAGCAAGTAATATATATATATATAGAGAGAGAGAGAGACAAGCCTAAATCAGTTAAGATATATAAATTATATAGAGATAGCAAAACCAAATCAATAGATTGATAGTACTGTCCCTAGCTAAAAATATATAACTAAATAAAAAAAAATTATATTGATTATGATACACTAACTCTGAGTGAGGTGGAAAATAGATATATTGATCAATAGAAAATATATAGATAGATGAAATGTATTAAGGTGGATTTTTTTCTTTTTATACAAATTGAATAAGAAAAGCCACATTGCAAAGCTACACACAGGATTAGATTCAGTTTACTGAATAAGAAAAGCTTCAGTCAACATTATATAAGTAATTTTGCTAAAATGTACACAACGTGAATTTACTGAGTATAATTTTTAAGTTACAAAGTAGTGTTGAAAACTTCTCAGCACAGTCAAGAAGTATTTTTTCCCACCAAATTCTGATGTTTAACCATTTGGTCAGATTTTGTGGAGGGAGTTGCTTCCTTCACAACTTTTCAGTATCCTCTTGTACACATACTCAGTGCACCAGTTTGTGTACATGTAACTTCTTTTCCACTTTATTCATTATGATTTCCTTCAGAATAAGTTGCAAAGTTTTTTATAAAGTAACACACATATATTGATTATGCTAAGGTTACTTGTCATTAGCTAAACGAAAATAAATTTCTGGTTCATCTTTAACTTTTGGTTAATTTATTTAGCATGCTGTATGAAGCCGGTCTAAAGAGAACAGAGAAATGTTAGAGAGATAAACCTGTTTGAGTATAAAATGAAATCTCAAATTCTTTTGCTGAGATTCCAAGTCGGGCATCTGTTATTGTGTTGTAATTAAAGAAAAGACATTTTATAGACTTATTTGACTTTTTAGGATGATCAATAAATAAACAAACCTCTATAAGGAAAATTTACTGAATTTCTGGTGCTTATTTACACTTTTATACAGACACACAAAAGAAGACACCTATATTTTTCTCCTTATATCAATTATTTTTTTCCATTATATACATGAATGTGTTTCTTGTTTTATTAGAATAAATTAACATTGTCTGCTCACCCTTCTTAGGGATTTTAAGTACACAACTGTTTTTCCTTCTCTACCATGTAAATAATTCTTTCTCTTGTAAAAGTTAACGTTTTTATTGTCATTTTTCTCTAGTCAAGCATCTTAATCCTTTCTTTAGAAACATCTTTCTTTTCTTTTATTTAATTATAACTTGGAAAAATTGTTTTTCTGTAGACAATTTATCACATGCTTTTTTGTACTCATTATTTTTTTTCTCTTTAAAAATAGGATAATGTTTTTTACTGTCAAAACCGAAGATAATAAAACTGGGAACTTTATAATCCAGATTCCTTTTAGCTTCCCATCCAAATACAATCGTTTGTTTATATTTCCAGATTCCCATAATGTTAGTAGTTAGGTTTAAACAGGTTTCAAAACAATTTCTGATTATTATCAGGTGTCATATGTAACCCAAGTTTTCACTCTCATCTCTCCTGAAATGTTTTTTTTTTTCTCTTTCACACACTATATGATTGTTTCTTACCACCCATACATACACCCAGTCTCTAACTACCCCTCAACATTTGAATTCTTATGTCGTTCTTTCTCTTCTTGTTATTGTTGAAGTTTAAGGATTATTGCAAAAATAATCAAGATAATATATAGAGAGAATTGTCTATTTTTAAGTGTGGGGACTGTAGACCATCTTTTAATGGTTTTGAAAAGCAATAAAAAGTTATTCACCAATATTTATTTTATAGATTATAATTCTTTTAAATTGTTTTATTTCCAACAGTACATTGCAAAAAGAAAAGTATTTATCTTCAGGAGTTTTATACTTACAAAATTCATAGATTTTTAAAAAAATTTTACAGGTCATATAGATTAATGATTACCATAAAAGCCCAAAATAGCACATCAGTAAATTTGAAGGTACTGAAATACTTTTTGTTCTATTTAATTGTTTTTTCATTACTAGGTACAAGCCTCACTTAAATCTCCCTGCCTATCAGATACTTATAAAATGTATAATATTCAATGGATAGATATATACTCAACAATATTTTAAAATAAAATTCAAGGTGTACATTATTTGTATAAATACAAATAGAAGAAGAAAAAAAAAGATCTAGTAGAAAGACAATACTAATGATATTTCAGAAAAACAGTTACACAAACAAGTTTTGTCTTGCATACAAATTCAATTTCTATGTCAGCATACAAGTGTTTTTATTTATTTCAAACACAATGTGATTATACTTGACAAAGGTACATACAAAATTGCAGCCTATATTCAGATCTTGACATAAGTGTATATATTTGTGGAAGGGGTAGTTTCATTTTGAGTTCATCATTTAGACACATTTCTCATCCTTGTGTGTGTCTATATAGCTTGTGATGCATGAACTATAGCTGAAGCTACATTGTTTATAGAAATGTTTGTTTTTCTTTTTTGAATAGGGAAATAAAACAAAAACATACAAATGGATCAGGGTAGTTTCTACTTTTTTAATAATTGAACTATGACCAATTAGAAATTGATTTTAAAGTTAATATCCACCAAATTCAAATATAAACAATCAGGTTATATGTTTTCCTTTCAGATTTAGATCTGCTAAAACTAAAATAACTGCTGTTTATAAAAAAATCATGATATATTGTATTTAGGACAGTTTTGAATTTACCTCCAATAAAAAAAAAATTATGTATTCACCTATTTTTAAAAAAAAACCTAATTTAGTCAAGCATTGCATAATAAACAAATGCCAGATCAATTTTCAAACAGTTGCATTAATTGGAATGTTGCGATGATGCTTTGCTTTCAAAGACGTTTACTTAGATAACATGTTTACAAAAAATCAAATGACATCCAGTTTAAAAACATTTCTATTTATTGGAGACCATTGCATGAGAAATATGCAAAACAAAGAAAAAATGGTTTGGAATCTGACTGTGTAGTCATTATTCGGGTTTGAAAATAAAAACTTATTTCAAACTCGGGCAAGCTTAAAAGCAAATAAAGAAAATAGAAACACAATTCACTTGTACAATATAAAAACCCTTATTTAGTATAAATTATCAACAGTATCTTAAAGAACAGAACTTTTATTATAAAATGATAAACTATGAAGGAAAGTGTTGTTGATATGGAGCTGAATTTTTATATGGGGAACAATTTTGAAGACCTTTTTAAAATCATTCATATAAAATGTGATCTTTTTAAATATCTGGGTATTGGAAAATTCTTGCACATTATTTTATTTTTATTTATGTATATGGAAATTCATGTGGCATCTTTATATTTGTATGTGTAAATGGATTAGCGTTTAAATACATAAATTACTGACATTTTTCATTTTTCTTCTGTTCTGAAAACTCGGGATTCAGCTAAGTAAACTTGTCCACTTTTATTATATGACAAATGCAGATAGTGGTATTAATGAAATGATAATGTTTTAGAAATTTGTTTTTATTTAAAAACTAAAATTAATGCTATAAGTAGCCTTGTGATGACACCAAATCAAGTCTAGATTTTGTTTTCCAATGATTTTAGTTTGATGATGATGATGTTAAAGGATAAAGCATTTGCAGCTGATGATTGTGGTAGAATAACGTAAAAGAAGGTGGTGGAGGTGCCTCATCTGTCTCTAAATGATTCTAGCTGAGTCTAAAAAAATTAAGGAATGCCAAAAGGAAATAGGAGAAAAAAAGAAAAGGAAAATAATTTGAAAAAAGAAAAAGGAGGATAGGAATGAAGAAAAAGATGGTAGTAAGTGGGAAGGGAGTGAAGAAAGGCAGGGGGTAACAGGAGTGAAGAAAGGCAGGGAGCAGGAGTTTAGCAGAGAAGAGAAAAAGGAAAAGTCTGAATGAAGAAATGGATGAATGCCAAAATGAAGGGCAGAAATGAAAGATGGAAGAAAAAGACAAGGGAGAAAAAATGGTTAGGTGTGGGGAGGGTTACCAAATGGAATGAAATGAAAAGAATGGAAATAGGAGTGGGGGGAGTTAAAAGAAAGAATGAGATAGAAATACTGGTAGAAATTAAAGAATGAGAAAATAAAAAAAAAAAAGAAGATAAATGGAAAAAGAATGAACAAAGAGTAAGTAGAATAATTGAAAGCTGGAATGAAAGAAAATAATTTTATATATAGAATTAAAATAAGGGAATTTGTACAAAATATTTTTTATCAAATGTATGTTTGCTGTTTTATGAAAAATATATTTCTCATTAGTGTTTGATGACTGCTTAATATTGATAAATATGTCACCAGAATAGCAAATATAATTGTGTTAATACTCTAATCCAAAAAGATAGCTTGCTTAGATAAAATTTTCTTGTCAAATATCAATTTTTGCAAAGTATTAATAAAAATTAGTATAATTAAAACCTTAATAATTATCATTTTGATACAGTTGTATGGTCAAACAATTTTCTCTGTTACTGTTTTTTATTTTCACATTTGGTTCAGACATGTTTTAATTAAAGAGCATAAAATTTAAGTTTTTATCAACAAGTCAATGTGATGTTAAAACTTTATTATATTTTTTTTAATTTAATATCTAAATGTTTATATTCTTCAGAAATATATTTAAAATTTGATATTTCCAAAGCATTCTATCTCATGTACCTTCTACTATTCAGATTCTCTCTCTTTCTGCATTTTTACTTTTACAATTTCATTTCACCTATAACCATCCCTCATTTTCTCACTTATACATTCTTTCTGCCTTTCTCTGGCTCACTTCCTTTTATAATCTCTCTCTCTCTCTCTCTACTCTTTGGTATTATTTTATTGGTTTCCTAATAAATCAGATGGTTTTCAATTTTTATTTTTTCTCCATATATTCAAGATACCAAGATAATATTTTTCTGTCTTATTCATCTGTTCATTTTATATATGCACCCCCCCCTTACAAAAGAACTTCTATATTGATGTGTCTAATAATCACAAATCTGTTCTTTTTGTTAGTATGCATTATTATTTTATATATATATATATATATATATGCCTAATTATTTTATAATTTTTATTATTGATTTCAGGTCTTTCTCTTTCATAAATACTGGCTTCTTAAGAGGAATTACCGAGAGCAGAAGGACAGAATTAACTAATCATTCTAGAGCTGCCCATAAGTAGACAAAAATGCCCAGACGCCGGAAGAGAAAGGCTCCTGCTCCCAGTACAGGGCAAAATGTAAAGAAACAGGCCCGTCGGGAAGAAGAGAATCCTAATGCAGAAGAAATAAAGCCAGAACCAGAAGTAGAAGGTAGCCGTATGCGCCTCCGAAATGCTAGCCAGAGAGAAACCCGATCTCGAGCACGTATACGAGAGGAGTTGGAAAGAGCTGAGGTGGATGATCATGAACCTGAGAAACCTGTTGAATCTGAACAAATAACAGGGCATGAACAGGACGAGGCTCCTAATGAAGAAGTGACAGATGAACAGATGGAAGCCAGATCTACAGAACAAGGAACGCTGAGCCTCGGTGATCCAGCTGGGTTTGCTGAAGATGATGATGGTCAAGCCAGATGTGAGGAGGTGGCAAGACATATGCAGTCTGAAGCTGAAGCAGTAGAGGATGAAGAACTGACCAGTGTTATGACACAGGAAAATGAAGCCCGTGCTCGAGAAGAGAGAGAGATGTTATTGACCCCAACTCCTCCAATGTCAACTCCACCCATGTCAGTCCCACCAATGTCTACACCACCAATGATGCTGCCTACTGCAGCTGAAGATACTAAAGATGATGATGACGATGATGATGATGATGACGACGATGATAATGATAATGATGAAGAAGAAGAAGAAGCTGAACTAAGGAGGCAACGAGAAGAAGAAGAGCTTTGTCGGCAATTAGAACGAGAAGGAGAAGAAGGTACTGCTGTGATCCGTGTCCAAACAATGGAGAGTTCACACAGGTGCCAGACATGTGGTCAGGAATTTGCAGGATTTCTTGATTTGGAAAAACACAAACTAACCCACAAAGAGACTAAAGTGTTTACTTGTAAAGCATGTGGCAAGACTTTTACACGCAAAAATCACCTGAAACAGCACAAAAGGACTCATCGTAAGACCAACAAAGGTGGCAAAGTTGCTTTTCACTGTCAAATATGCAATGTCGGATTTTCACAAAGGATAAACATGATACGTCACATGCAGGTTCATGAGCAGCCAGCACCCCAACCACAATATGATGTCCCCACAATGTATGATGAAGGTGAGAGACCATTTAAGTGTACTTTCTGTGGACGCACTTTCTCTCGCAATGGAGATTTGACTCGACATATGAGATCCCATGAGGACCCACCACAACTTCAAAACTACAACTCAACACTCATGTACCATGACGAGAAGCCGTTCAAGTGTAACATTTGTCAGCGTGTGTTCTCACGGAATGGAGATCTCACCCGACATTTCCGTATCCACGAAGAGCCATTCATGCAATCAAACCATGGCTCAATGCCAATGTACCAGCATAATGTGGAACAGTTCCAATGCCACATCTGTCAATCAAAGTTCTCTACAAACGGCAACCTGACAAGGCACATGAAAATTCATGAGCGGTATGAGTCGCAGAACCAGCATGCCCAGAACAACCAACAGAATGAAAATAGTCACTTCAGATGCAATGTATGTGGATGTGAATTTCTCAGAAATGGAGACCTGACCAGGCATTTTAAAACACATGAGGAGATTGTCATGCCTAACATGACGGAACAAACAAATTATTCAGATGAGAACCCATTCAAATGTAATCTCTGTGGGTTAGTATTTTCTAGGAATATGGATCTCACTCGACACATGAAATCCCACATGGAAACCTGCATTCAAAACTGTGATGGTGGCCCAATGAACTGTCCCGAAGAGGAAATGGGTAATCGGTGTCATATTTGTGGCTGTATTTTTGGATCCATTAATGAACTTAACGAGCACATGAAGGTTCACATTGAATTCCTACATCAGCAGCAATCTAGCTCTCGATCTTACCTTGAAGATGAACCAATTATTTGTCATGTTTGCAAACGTCTTTTTTCACGGCCAGGTGATTTAACCAGGCACATGAGGACCCATGAAGAGCCAATGGGTCATGGCCATGACAATATGTCAATGTGCCATGAGGATAAGCCCTTCAAGTGCAATGTGTGTGCCCGCACATTTGCGCGCAATGGGGATCTCACTCGGCATTTCCGCACTCACGAGGATACTTATATGCAGAACATGAACTCTCCAATGTGCCGCAATGATGATTCTTTCCAGTGCAACATTTGCAAACTGAGCTTTTCTACGAATGGGAACCTGACACGCCACATGAAAATCCATGAAGAATACTTCCGCCAAAACCAGAACCAAAACCATAATCAGAACCACAATCAGAACCAGATGTACAATGGGCCAAATTCTCACCACAGCAAGGAATCCTTCCGCTGCTATATCTGTCACTCAAATTTTTCAACCAATGGAAACCTGACTCGCCATATGAAGATTCATGGAGAAGTTTACAACCGAAAGAAGAATGTGCCCATGTACCAAAACGATAATTCATATCACCACTCACCACCACCCCCACCCCCGCCTCCAAACCATTATCAAAACGATTACCAAGACAGGGAGAATATGAATTTTGACTGTGAGGATTGCATGAAAGCCTACCTTGAAAGGACCAATGCATCGATGTCAAACCACCCATGTGATGTGTGCGGCAAAGCCTTTACCAATGGCGGACATTATGACCGACACCAGCATTCGCATTGCCAGGATAAGCCGTTTTGTTGTGACATTTGTGGTAAAAGCTTTGTTCAGAAGTATCACATGACCGTCCACAAGAGAACGCATACAGGAGAAAGGCCATACAAGTGTGATCAATGTGGCTTTGCCTTCTCTCGTAAGGACCACCTGATTCGGCATCAGAGAGAGAATAATAGTAGGTCAAGCATGTACATGTCGCAGGAGGGAGATACACGATATTCCTGTGTTGCCGGCAATAACTCCTCTCGATGATTATGTTAGAGGTGTTTTGAAATCCAACATGGTTCCCCACATATTTAATTCTATGATCAACCAACCACAAATATTTTTTTAAAGTTCTCAATATTGCATTGTTTTTAAAACTGAATTGATTTAGGGAAAGCATTTGAATATTAAATCATAAAGAGACATCTTGCAAATAATAATGGAAAAATTAAGTGGGAATTAGTTTAAGAATCTAATAACAATGATTATAATAATACTGACATTATTAAGATAAGAAAATAGAAATGAATCAAAAATTTGGTAACATGAAAATGAGTTTAGAATGAGGCTAAAGTAGATAATTGAAAATATTACAAAAATGTTGATAAGCATAGTAGTATTAATGTAATCATGAAATGGTGGTAAAAGCAATATTGCTATATTACTGCTTTGTGTTCTTATATTTCACTCGACACATTTTTGATACAGCTCAATTAAAACAGGGTCTTAAATGACCAAACATCAGAATACTGATTTTTGGAAAGTGGGTTGAGTGATAATTTTTCAGACCCCCTGCCCTCATAAGTTAATATTCCTTAACTAAAGGAAGTAGATGATATATATTGTTAGGGAATTATAATTTTTTTGTAAAAATGTTGTAATAATTTGTAATTTTTGGATTTTCAATTCATTCTTTTTTACACTTCAAATTGGCTAGTGAAATAAAACATGCTAATGCAAATTTCATGTAATTAAAATTGTGTAAAATAAATGGCATTTAAACCAATAATTTTCAAACTGCACTTGCAAAGATGCTGAGAATGAACATTTAAACACTAGACATGTCCTCTTCCTCACAAACACGTTTTATAATCCTGTGCAGGAAGGAGGTGCAGGTGTCTACATGAAGGTTTGTGTGTGTGTGTGAGGGCACACACTAACACACACATTCAAACAAATGCATATTTTATAAATTTTCAGAATCCTGTAAATTAAAATGTCGTCCAGGTTTCAATTGTTGGTTGAATCAAAATTGTCATAAACTATGTGAGGGATGTCATGTTTTAAGTCAAAGAGATTATTTTTTTTCTTGAACTTATGAGAAAGCTTTTAATGCAATCTTGTTGCGAACTTGCCTGGGTTGCATTGAAAGAAAGAAGAAAAAAAAATGATCTTCTTGACAAGGAAACCGGTTACTATGGAACATTGCATACTTTTCCTATCAGCGTCATCTACTTTATGCACATTGCTGAAGCCTTAACTGTACTCTTGAGTTCATCGACTGCCACATCATGAAAACTCACAGTATCATAAAACACATGAAGAACTTTTTTCTTCACAAAGTAAATGGTTGCAGCCTGCAGAAATAGTTGCCTCCCATATGCCATCAGATTTGTATCAGGCTTATATAGCATGTCTAGCTCAATGGTTATAGCTATGTGCTGGTATCCAGAAGATCTGAAGTCAATAGGCTAATTAACATAAACTAGCCTTGTGAAGTAGAAAATTTGTTTTAAGCCAGAGAAAAAAGGATATATACAAGATTGGAACATTGTACAAGTCAAAAACTATTTAAAAAATCAGTCATACCTATCTTCTATATCAGCATGTATAAAATGTATACAAATCTACAGAATGGACTAAAATATTTTGAGACATGTTTGCACTATAGACTCTCACTGTAAATAAGATCAGCACAACAACCATAGATAATTTTTCTCTCAAATTATCAATATCATGTTTGAATCATGATCTATCACTAAAAAATAAAAGGAAGTGAAGAGGACAATTTGTCTTGATCACAGCTTCATCTTCCATGAATTCCAGCCATCAACTCTTCATTTGTATTATATTACTTCTATCCTTTGGTCTAAATTCATCAACCTGACTCTATACTGAACTGAACATTTTTTTCTTTTTCTTTTACTTTAACATTATGAAAAAAAAGATATCACTTCTTTCTTTCAACTAAGATTTTTTTCCCTATCTGAACTCTATAGCCTCTTTCTCTTCCATTTCTCATTTCAAAGTTATCTTTCATATCTCTCTCTCTATCTATCATATATATATATATATATATATATATAAAATCATATGTATAAATAAAATCTCATATCAATTTTGGGATTCTTTTATTCCTTATTTGAAGTTTCTGTGTAAAATTATCCAACAGAATGGAATTCTTATAGGGTCTTAAATTAAATTAAGCATTAGAAATTTCTTTGTTTGAATATCACAATAAGTCACTCTTGACCTTGTGCCAGACTATGCTAAGTTTACTTAATAGTGAGAAACATTACTGCTGATAAAAAAAAAAATACTGCAATTATAAGGTAAAATTGGTGACTTAAAAATGTAGATATTGATAAAAAAAATTCTCTTATTTCATAGAGTAGAACATTTTTTTCATTTGTGCTTGTAAGCTGTCATTATTTTCTTAATCCTTTTTAAAATAAATATGGCATTGTATGCTATAAGTGATCAAAGCCTAAATGTTAGTAAAATAATATATGGTTAATAGGTATAATTTACTGTTCAGCTTTTATTTATGGTGATATATCTTTCCACAGAGCTATAGGAAGGCACTCAACAATTGTCTTTTGAACAAATCCTTACTGAGTGCTTTTAGAAATGCAGCCTTATACCAAAGTTTACTTAGTTCAACAAACACCAAACATAATAAAAGAAAGACATGGCTAGTGTATTTTTTAAGTTATGAGTAATTACCTTTACAGACACAGTACAATATGCATACAAAAATGTGTGCAGTTTTCTCCCAAAATAATACCACCTATTTTATTGGTTAATCAAAAACAGATCTTGATGGTTGGTAGTTGTTGAACCTTCTCTATAATAAACCTTTTTTTTTCTTTTTTCTTTTTAAACTATGTTACTAATAATAGCTGAGCAGAGATTTATAATTGAATGCAGAAAAAATTGATGCCATTTATTGATACTTGAATATTCAGGATGACCAAATATTGGATGTGAGCACAGTTCAGCAGTAGTAACAGCCACATTTCAAGCATGGCATGCAGGCTCTTATTTATGACTGGTAAAACTAATGTATTGTAGCTGATAATTTGCTATCCCAGTGTTATTGTACTCCACATATCTTAGTTTTCATGAAAATAAATAAGAAGTATTACTTTTGAAGTGTCTTTTACATGTGTGTATAAAACTTAGAAGAAATTTTAGTATTACAATGACTCTGGAGCCACAAAAATTACATGCTTTTTCTTTAATCAAAAGCAACAATCAAGGTTTTAGTTTTTAGCTTATTTCCTTACTTTTAAAAGCACAAAATAGATAAAAGTTTTAATGTTAGATTTATTTAATTCTTTGAAAAAATACTTCACATAATTAATTTGTATCTGATTAAAATACAAGTTTTTCTTAATTTCATATATAAGTAAAAGTGGGTGATCACAACATTCAATTTTTTACTAGTGTATATTTAAAGATAAAATATATAAAAACAATGGCAGATAATTCCAATATGCAAAATGAGATTGCAAGGATATAGTCATCAAATCAATATAAAAAAAACAGCTAGTTGTTGGACATGGTTCAGTTTCTTAGAATTTGAGTGAATTTCTTGCTGATAAATTTCATGCTTTTGAAGAATAATAAAATTCATATGAGCAATAGTTACTAATGGTTCAAATATGCTACGGTGGTTTTATAAGCATAGCTTAGATGTAGCACACAGCTGAAACTATGGGGCACCCAGTGAGGATTGAATTCACTATTCAGTCATAATTGATTTAGTGAGATAAGCTTGCTAACCATTACACTATATCAAAGTGCCCAATTCAAACATGCTATGAGGTTTTTTCTATGATGCCAAAAGTGTTTGTGGAATTAAAATTTTAAAGGCACTGTCACTTTGAAATGAAAATGATTTTTATTGTTAAAGATTTATTAACTTATTAAATTGTCAGTAGAATCATGAAATCTATTCATATTCAGTTAGAATTTCTTAAATTCTGGAATATTCTTAGTGAGCTTGAACAATTACAGCAACATAACACAATTAAAAATTATTGCATTTTATACTATTTTCAAAATTTGAATAATTTACACCCCTGGCCTCATAAAGAAAATTTTTCATGGTCTTTTTTGTTTTTAAATAGGTAAGAAGTTTGAGCCTATTTTGCTAGTCCCAGTGTATAAAGATTGAAAATAAAGCTATAAAAATGCTTGTAACTAATCAGTATTTGATTACTCTAAAATATGGTTGACTTTGTAAATAACTTTCTTTTTTTATTATTTATTAACTATTTTACCCATGTCAAAAATTACGGCTATTATATGAAATTGATATTTTGTTAAATCTGTACTACTCACTGATTTTTGATTGTGAGTCTTTAAATATTTTTCCAATTGTGTGCTCTATCAAGTTGGTCTTTGTAAGTATCATTGAGCAGTTTATCATTGTCATAGCAGACACTTAGTGTAACAGTTGTCTCCCTTGCACTGACAACTGAAATAAATATACAAATTTTCAGTTAATTGATGTAACAACAGTAAAATGTAAATATATCTGTTTAAATTTTATTTCATTCAATTTGAAGTTTATAACATCATTTCAAATAAAAAGTTTACAGTTTTCTATACAATTCATTGGGAAACAAAGCTGTTTTTTATACAAGTGGTACAAAGTGCATTTAAGTATTTACGTCGGTGGGAGTTTTTTCAACTTATCAAATAAGCGTGCTAGTTCAATTCAAATGAACGGTCCGCCGGGAAATTTTTATTCCTGGGACAAAATAATCATGCCGCAGAGAAGGTGAGGGTGGGTGAATGCTGTACCACATAAGCACTGAGCCGGAGGTGGGTGGGGGTATTGAAGAAAATAATCGTGCCGACACGTGCATTTGATACACAAGAATAGGGATTATGCTGTGTGAACTTAGTGACTTTGTAACAAAGCCAATCAGTTCACAGCACAATGGAGAAAAAAACCAGAAACATTTAACCAGGTTGGTGCAAAAAAAAAAAGAAGTTTTAGATAGTTTATGAAATTTGAGCTTCTCGTTATAGTT